TACAAATCATTAGAGATAAAGAGATATAATAAAAGGATAAAAATCGAGAAAACGAAAAACGATAACAAACAAATTAATTCGTTGCATTTGTTGAGGGGGAGGGGGGGGGAAGAATAGTTAGGTATTGAAGCGAATTTTTACATTAAATCAACAATCAAAATATTTACATAATGTTTATTTTTTCTATTTCTATTTAGAGGGTAAAAACGAAAAAAAGGGAAAAAACTGTTATACAACAAGGTTTTCAAAAAAATGCATTTTTTTTTTGTAAAAAAATAATTTCATCACAGAGAAAATTAAACAATTACTCTTATTAAATGTATTTGTAATGACTGTTAAAGAATTTTTTGAACAAGGAAATTAAAAATTGATATAAAATTATTGCTGTAATAGATTACAGACTTAAAAATTTGCAAAATAGTACAATAACAACTAAGAAAACATCGGAATAATACAATAATCTTGTTCTAGTAGATCCCTTACAGATATACTGGCAAGGTCTTTCAAAGTTTCAAAATGAAATTCGCTAAAAATTTGATCCTCTTCAGTATTAGATTGGGGAACTCATACTCCTCTTCAACTCCAACATCTTTGAAATCTCGGAGGATGAGGCAGTGCTTCATCGAAATTCTGACCGTATAGTAAAAATGTCATACGCCTGAATATTGTTCGTAAACAGCTCTTCTCTTCCTCTTTTTTTTCTTTATTTGTAATATTTGTAAATTCTCTCAGTAGCGAAATCACTATATAGTTCAACCACAATACATCAACCTGAAACATACCATTATAATGAGACAACTTAACACATAATTTCAGGCTCCGCTACTCAGAAAAGATGTGATTCATTTCGTATAAATGAAAATAATTAACAGGTATAATATGTCTTTGTATTATACCCGATATTCTGAGTTTCTTCTCTCTATTCATTGTTGGCTACCAGATGAAACCCGTAGGTGAAAATGGATCTTATCACGCGCATTTATAACCAATATGTGAGAGGCAAACAGAATTATAATTTTTTTTAATAAAGGAATGAATCTCGTTCTAACAAAAGAGAAGTACATTTTTTATTTATACTAATACCAAATCTTTTATGATTTCCCTGCAAAAAATTTTTTGTTCCAACAAAAATTAACACGCATCTTAGAATAATAAAAATAATTTTCTTTAAATATTGATGACGTCATGTACATAATAATATGTATGTGTGATCTCAAAAGCATTGATAATGGGAAAATCAATATGGAAAATTCAAAAAAGTAAAATAATTTCAATAATAAAATTATTTTCTCATAAATTTATTATTGTTTTCGTCTTTTTGGTTTTTTTTTTCTTATTTATTACTTCAAATATTAATACACAATAAAAATTTTGTCGTGAAAAAAATCAAAGAAAAATGGAAAATTCTTTTAATTCTAAAATATTATGAACGAATTTAATTAACACTTTTAAGTCATTTTTCACTATGAAATTATTCTACAATACCTATTCGTAGATTTCTGGATATTTGGCTTTATCATACTATTGTTATGTACTTAATTGAAATATGATCCTAATTTTGTAAGAATTAAAGATTTTCATTTTGTATGGCATGAACAATACACAGAAAGATTAATTTCCTGCAATTGAATGAATGCATTCTTCTATTAAATTGAAATAAATTTCATATGATGCTTATTATATTGTTCTGGATTTTTAAATTAATTTAAAATGAAAAGTTTTTGAAAATAATAATAAATTGGTATAAAATTAAGAGAAAACAATTAATTTTCTTTCGATACCCAATACTCTTTAATATTATAGTTAAGCTATTAATTTTCTTTTTCAATTTAAAATAGTTTTTTTTTAAAAAATCAAGTATACATAGAAAATATTTCTATATAATATAAAAATGGGTAGCTTTTGATGTCAATTTATGTCAGAAAATGAATCATAAATCAACAAGTTTATTTTTTTTTTCAATTCATCAATAATTTTATAATTTCAAATGACTTTTAGAATAATTTTCAATTTTCATTGAATAGCAATTCCTTTTTCATTTTACTGTACTACATCAAAATATAATATTTTTGAAAAGGAAAGAAAATATTATTTATAGAAAATGAAAAACTGTAATAGAAAATGTTTACTAAAAGCAATAATAGGAAAATTATAAATATCTTAATAAATTTCATTTTTTATAAAATTCCAAAGTAGATTTTATCTGGAAATGAGCCTTTTTTTTTTAAATAGTTTTCATATTAATACTGAATAATTGGATCAAAACCCTTGCTGAATTGAATAAGAGTGAATTCCAGTTATTTCATTCAAATATTCATAAAATCTACCTTCATATTAGTCTACATACCTAAAATAGCCTAGTATTCATATAAAAATTCAATTTCTTTATATTGTGTCACTTATGAATTTTTACATTTTTTTTAATACCAACAATATAAAACACATTCCAGGAAAAAATAGTGCCAAGTCCCTATAATCGTAAAAAAAAAGTACTTAATTTTACCATTACCATGGTACTATTATTATAATAATTATTTCTATCGTCGATATCATCATATCCTATTAAATTGAAAATCATAGCAAAAACAAAAATTACAAAGAAAATGCAAACAATAAAATAAAACATTGGAATCTTTCAAAATTGTCGATTAAATCAATCTATTTTCCTCTCTTCTAAGTCCAATGACTTCGTTTTTAATTTTTTATTTCATAAAATAGAATAATAGCAAGAATTTATTGTTGTAGAATACAATAAACTGAGGGTTTCAGTTTCTGTTTTCTTCAAAATTCCTGTTTATTTAAAAGATAGTCACCCATTTGGTTAACTCAATGATTTATGAAACTGATGAAAGGCTCTAAAGTCAACCAGAAGCCCAGTGCTCCAAAGTGGGTAAGGGAAGCAAAAAAAAAAAACAGGTAAAACGAACTACTGCTGCCCAAAAGTTTTGTTAAAATGTTTTTTAGCCATAGAGCAAACATCAGGCAGGCGGTCCAAATTCTGTATTAAAATTTTTTTTTACAATCGGCCCATAAATCAGTTTCTAACTATTTTTATACATTTATTTTGAAACGGAAAGGACAGATGATTAAAGTTAAATGAACACGTTTGCATTCGAATTTAACTAATTGTTTAATTTTTAAAACTCAATAGGAATAAAAGTTCTGTTCGAGAATGCAAACAAAATAATTTTCACACTATAATGTACTTACAACTACACATACAAAAAAAATTTTAAATTTCCTCTTATACACCTAGGACAAAAGGTGTATGAGAGGATATTTGGAATAAATATTTGTTACATAACCTAACAGAGTATGTTTTTTAACCTCAGTTTTCAGACAAAAGTTAATTTTTTTTTTTGACCAGCAACAACCTTGTTAACAACAATTTTTCAAAAAGTTTTGATATCATTGGCAGCAGATAAATCAGTCTATATGACTTTGCCCCAATTCAAGGGCTTTTCCCGGTTATCCTATCATAATAACTTCAGCTACTTTTCAAGCACTAGGAACATACCTCATGTTAACTGCCGCATTTATCAAATTTTTCAAAAATCTCATAGCCTTTCGCTGCGATTTTCTGTATACCTCAGTAGTAATGAGATCGAAACCTGGGGTTCTATTCAGTTTAAACGGCTTTATCGCTTGGCAAATTTCTTTTTCATTAAATAAAGCCGTAATGCTTTCATTCATATCAAAATCTTCTATTAAATAAACACTAGAATTCAGTTCATTTGATTAAAAAATTTCTTGCAAATGGACAACAAATAGTTCAGCTTTATTCCTATTGCTTGTTACCCATGATCCATCTGCTTTTTTTCAGTGGGGAGAAACGCTTGTTCGGCGTCTCGATACTCTTCCATGCTTTCCACAACAAATAATTCGTATCTTCAGTTGCCGACAAACTCTTTTCATAAACTTGTATGACACTGATTTAAAATTTTCTATTTTTCTTTTGAGCGTTTAAGAAAGTCTATTCACAATCATTTTATCGTCTGTAACTGTCAAGCCATTTCACCCCTGGATATGTGCGAGTACAATGAAACATTTTGATTGGTAATATTGTCAAATCGTCCGGACATTGAGAGGAAATGCACCTTAAGTGTTAATCATTTACAATATGATTTTATATGTGAGCTTCATGATGGAACAACGTGTATATAGGAAACATTATAACAATAGCAACAATATTTTTTTCTTATAAATTACAAAAAAAAAAAATAAAAAAGAAAAAAAAATTACTTATAAACAACAAAAGTAATAATAAAAATGATGCACTTGATTACAATTCATTTATCACACATTTTTATTAAATCATTTTTCACAAAAGAACAAAAAAAGAAAATTAACAATAAAAACGAAAATAATAATAAAATACGAAAAAAAAAAAAATAATAATAATAAGTTCCCTTCATCTTCGAATATTCTTTTTTTCTTCATCTTTCTGTTCATTTGATTGAAAACAGGACAACATCACATTCATATTTCAAAATTTACACATACATATACACATATAATAATATAGTGAGAAAATAAATGCTATTTATAATAATTTATACATGATAATAAAAATGAAGTCCTTGATAATATTATCCTTATCATTTCATTCATTAGACAAAAACAAAAATTAAAAAAACAAACAAAAATCAAAAAAAATTTATGAGAACATAAGGATGATATTGTATACATATATATGTAAAATATAAAAAAAATATGTCCTTTTTTCAACAAAAAAAAAATTAATATCCTTCCTTAAATTACATGTATTTTAATATTATCAAAGTTGATTATAATTGCAAAAATTGTATAAGAAAAACTTGGAAATATTTTTATATCATAATTTTTCTCAAACTATTCTAGGTTGTGTATAATAACAAAACCAGGAAATTTTTTTTAATTTTTAGAATGTTATAACAATAATTAACTATCACTATACTACTATTACTAAAATATTTATTATAATAATTATTATTTTTCATTTGATATAATATTGCTGTTATTACAATTAAGATGAAATTATTAAGATCTACAATAAATTTTAATAATATTTTTTGTTCATTATCCTTATAATATTGTTGTTCTTCCTGTTTACTTGATTCTATTTCTTCTTTATTTTTATAATAATTATTATTAAAATTCAAATTATTATTCATAATATACTTATTACTATTATTATTCGTATTCTTATTAATGTTTACCTTTTTTATGTCCTTTTTTATGATGCCATTTCTTATTATGTTTATCACCACCTTTTTTACCATGCTCATGATGATGTCCCCAATGATCTTTATGTTCTTTTTCACCTTTATGTCCTTTGTGCTCATGATGATGATGTCCTTTTTTATCTTCACCTTTCTTTTTATGATGATCATGATGATGACCATGTTTATCATGTCCTTTCTTATGATGTCCACCTTTTTTATGTTTTTTCTCTTCATGATGACCACCTTCATCTTCATGATAACCTTCATCATGATCTTCATCATAATGTTTTTTCTCTTTTTTATCTTCATCCAATTTATAAACTTCATGATGTCCTTTTGTATGATGACCTTTTTTATAATGTCCATGTTCCTCGAATTCATGGCCCTTTTTATGTTCACCACCTTTTTTATGTTTTTTATGATGGCCACCTTCATCATGATGTTTCTTTTTATGGCCATGATGATGATCATGTTCACCTTTTTCATGTTTTTTATGATGATGACCTTTTTTACCTTCATGATGATGATGATCACCTTTTTTACCTTTATCACCTTTTTTACCTTCTTTTTTATGATGATGTTCATCATGATCTTTCTTATGTCCACTTTCATGTTCTTCTTTTTTACCATGATGTTTGTGTGTTGCTGCTACTTCCATATCTTTTGGAACATTATCACCATTTTGTTTCTTTTTTGTGATAGAAGAGCTTGGTGATTGTCGTCCATCTATAATTGCATTTGACAATATGGCAGAAAATGTCATAAATGTCAATAGTAGCCATTTTGGATTTATAAACATTAAAAGGCGTTTCTATTTCTATTTTGTTCTTATGCTAAAATAAATATTTTTCAAATGAAAATTTACGTATTAATTTTTTTTTTTATTTGAGAAATTACTTACAAAACTGATCTAATCGTTCGTTGTTAACAGAAGTAAAATTGTGTTAAACGAATCAAAAGTTGATTGGAAACTGAATTCAATTACAATCAATCAACTTCATTTATACAAATGAATTTTCCAAAATAATTTTTAATTTTTGTTTTTTTCTTTTCAATGTTGCCGTTACATTTCTTATTTGTGTTCACAATTTGTTAAAATTTCCCAATATGAGAAAAAGTGTGTAAAAACAAAAAATTTCTTTTTGTTTTTATTTAGCGGGAGAATTCACAGAGAAAAAATGGAGTGGAAGTCATAAATGTGTCAAATGAAAATTCGGAAAAAATATTAAATATCGTTTGTAAAAAGTAAATATAAGTTTTCGAATTTCCCGTATTTGATAAAAATAAGTCGACATCATGCATTACTCCTAAATATTCTAGGTCTAAAATGGCTTGGTATTAACTAAATTCCAATGTATGTACTTACATAATATGGTGCTGCCTTATACCGAAATTGTAAAAGCCCTATTTCATAATTATTCATTATTCTTTCCGAAATTATTCACTACGCTTTCCAAAAAAAAAAATCTGTTGAAGACAAGAAGCATTAGCCTTGGTTATTTAAGTCTTATTCTTATAGTAGAAAGAAATAATGAAATGAAGTGCACAGACAGTAAAACTTCACAACCATTAGAAAATGGTTATTAATATTACATTTTGACGACTCTCAACCAGTAGCAATGTTGCTCTCAACCAATTACAAAAAGAATTAAAATTTAAAATTTTTGGAATTTTTTTCAATGTCTAAAACAAAATTTCAAATTTCCTGAAAATCTTCATTTTAAACTTAAAACAATTTTTAATTTTTTATTTTCTCTTCGTAATCGTAACAATTATTGAACATTGAAAATATTGAAAAAAGAAATAAGAAAATGCATAGACGTAATTTTAAAATATAAACAAAAAAAATTTTTTTTTTTGTATTTTTGAAGATTTTTTTTTCCAAAGAAATTTCCAAATGGTCCGATTATAATTGAAAACTCAAAAACACACAAACAAAAAATTAAGAAATAAATTCTTTTTTTCTTATCGGTTGAGTATTTTTTTTGTAGTTCAATACAAGAGCAGATGATTTTCCAACTATAAGGAAATTCTTCGCATCCATAGTAATTTAATCCTAAATTGAAAATTTCGAAAATATTATTTAATCTAAAAATACTTGAAGTTTTAATGGCAATAATATTGCTGCATCATGACGGCCAAGTTACTAGCGCTGAAGTACTATGAAGTCACTAATATCTTTTAATATTGAACTTACACTTAGTTTACTCTATAATAAAATAGATAATATTAACCACTTATATATCGAGGACAACCAAATCAAATCTTTAATTTTGAAACAAACAGTTTATTATTAGCAACCTGATTTAGCTTTTTCAATACGGTATAATAAGGGAAGCTATGTGATCACACCAAACCTCATGACATACAATATGGGAGGTTATGTGATCACACCAAATTTCGTATATCGTGTTTTAGTGGAAATACGATTCCCTACTACTTATCCGTAATAGGGAAGCATAAATAAACTAATTTTAGCCTATCGGTCTGAGTGTGCATGCGTGTACCTCAAGTTCGGCTTAACTAATTTTGATGGAATTTTATATATGACGTGGATTAATTAACTTTGCATTTTATCCGTCCGCAACAACTTAACTTTGAATAAGCTTTTGCTTCGTCCAACAAAATGAGAAACCACCTAACTTTTGAAAGAACTCACGTCATCGCATTTTTCTTCAATTGATTTTTCTCATTCTCTTGTACATATCAAATGGCATTCTACTTGATTTTTACAAAGATAAAAACTATATAGTTAAATTATATAAAATGGACGACTGAAATGGTTAGAAAAAAAAAAACGGGATATGCTATGTACAAAAAATTCTTCTCACTCAAAATAATTAATATATATTATATAAAATGAAGAGATGATACTCAACAGTAACTTTCTTCTAACACGGGGAGAACTTTGATATTCTACAGTATCTACTCTTAAATTAGGTATAATTTGGCCTAAAGTATTTTTGAATATTTGTTCCTTATCTCTAAATTCAAAAACTTCTCAATAACATAGACCAAATAACAAAAAAGAAAAAAAAATAAGCTTCAAATTCTTAATCGTAAACAAAAATAATGTTTATATAATTATTGAAATTTTTTTTTTTTTGTTTTCTAAAATTTATGGTTAAATTACTGAGAGCATATACATACATACAATAAATAATTTCACTTGAAAATAAAATTTTCATTGAAAACATACAAATAAAATTTTTCAATTGGAATAAAATTTTTGCTTTTATAATAATTTTTATTATTGCTCATGTAATACAAAATGCATACTATGAAATTTAAATGCCATGAGTACAAGCGTATACAATTAAACATACATAGACTATAGTCTAGTTGTTACATATACAATATTTTTATAGAAAGAGTGAAAGAGAAATTGATTTAAAATGAACTTAATTTTATGGTTCATTTGATTTTGATTTGTAATTAAATAATTTTTGATTAATTTATTATCGTTATTTTGAGGGAAGAAAAGAAATAGAAATATATTATGTTATAATTTATGTATATATGTACGTGTACTGAGAGCATATAGTGTATATATGAGTAAAAGAGTAGTGACTTAGTTTTAATGAGTTTTCTTAGACAAGTTATGGAAATAGAGAAATTTTATATTGTGAATATTTTGCAGTATGCAAATTTGTATTAAATTACAACACAAGAATAATATTTTGACGCCTAGGTTAGGTTAGGGCGACGCGTCTACCGGATAGGCCTGTAAGGTCCGTTGTGAGACTGCCGGATCAACAAAATCCCTCCCCCACATGAGAACCCGCCCGAGCTCTTCAGAAACTCCGCCGCGTTCCTGCTAATGCCGAACATAAGCAAAGGAGAAGGGCTACCGTCTTCCCCTCTTCCTCGTCACGGCATCTCATGCAGAGATCGTTCGCCGGCCAGCCCATCCTTCTGGTGTGTTCGCTAATAATACAATGACCCGTTATGACTCCTACCACAGATCTAATGTCTCTCCGGCGGAAAGATATGAGATCACTGATTCGACGTTACGTAGCCGCAGCATGAACGTACTCAGGGGCATTCCAAGATCGTCCCTTTGTAGATACAATGGTTTAGTAAACCGTAGTGCCAGACCGCGCCTTTTGCCGATGACACACGAGTAAAGTGCTGTGGTTGACCTCCTCACTCCTTCTGCAATATTGGACTTCCCGTTTAGCTTTGAATCTAAAATAAGAAACAGAAATCTAGCTCCCTCGATGGGCCTTCAATAACGATGGCCAGAAAGGCGGCCATGGTGTAATTCCTGCTATTCAGGATTTTTCTATGGAGCGTACAAGAGAATACAGGTCTGTCTCAATCGACTTGCCGTTGGAATACGTCTGTTGTGCTGAAGACAATAGACTTGAGTCGGCCTGACGTTCTCTGGGCAGCTGTGAAAGTTTCTCCCGGCCTTGGGCATAAAGATCGTCTTAGTAACAGTCGTCTATAAATCTATTACTCATTTCCAATATGTTTAACCAAAATCAATATGACTTTTTGAAAAATTTATTATATAGTTAAAGGTACCGAATATTCTGCAATATGCAAAATGGAAAAAGCGATTAAAATACTGGAAAAAAAGTAAGGCAAGTGTTTGTTATTAATTTACAATTTAAATTTCAATAATGTGAATGCATGTATATATATAGCTATACTCATTCGAAATGTTATAAAATTTTAGGTCAAAAAGAAAGAAATGATTTATGTATGGGTATTAAGTATTGAAATGATGTTGCTATCAATTGAAAAAAAAAATCTGATGTGGTCAGCAAATAACCGACTAGAAAAATGTAAAATTGGTGCGCAAAAATCCAATCCGTGCCATAGTCAAAATAAATATATTCAATTTTATTTAAATCAGTTCAGCCGAACTTGAAATACACGCTTGCACTCACACAGATCGACTTACTGACAAAGCGACATCCCCAAAAATAGTTTATCCGCGCCTCTCTACTATGAAGAAGTGCGTTTTCACCGAAAACTCGACATCCCAAATTTGGTGCCATCATAAAACCGCCCTTATTGTATGCAATGCGGTCGGTAAAAAAATTAAACAAAAATAAAATAATAAACTGGTGACGATTACAGTATGTTTTTGTTACCCAAAATCTATTCAATCAAAATATACTTGAAAAATGCAGATTTTATTAAAAAATAGGAAAAACCACTTCTTCTTCTAATAAGTTAGTTTAATTAGACTCAAATTTTTATGGAGCTATATTGCTAACCAAAAGCGCTCTCAATAAAAATAAAATTTTTGAACCAATTAAATTCACATTTAAAGTTTTCAATGCTAAAAAGAAATATAAAATAAAGAAGAGTTGAGGCTCGCAATACAGTTGTGTTGTCTCTATCATTAGCTATTCAAATTGACGTAACTATATTTTGGTTTTACGTAGCTCTATTTAATAATAGATTTGTAAAAATTTTTTAAATCTTCTGCTACTCAAATACTGTTTTTTTTTTTGGATACATCACTCTTAGAAACGCAATGGTAGAGTTTAGAAGGAAATTCCTCCTATCATAAAGAAGATTAGAGTTTGTTCAAAATAAATTTCTTAGATTTCCGTCGTTTGTTTATAGCTGATGTTTGATTACCGTAATTAAAATTTTAATTCACCAGATCTCTCAAATTTTTACCGACCGTATTGTGTAAACAATAGGTAGGTTATGTGATGGCAACAAATTTTGCATATCGAGTTTTCGGTGGGAACGTACTTCTCCATAGTAGGGAAGTGTAAATAAACTATTTTTAGCAACCTGTCGGTCTGTCGGTCTGTCGGTCTGTCGGTCTGTGTGTGCACGCGTGTATCTCAAGTTCGGCTGAACCGATTTTGATGAAATTTTATATGTAAGTTTGTTTCCACCATGGCACGGATCGATCAACTTTTGGTATATATCAGGCCTCGGGAACTGCACTTTTTAGCGGGCCTGTTTTACATTTTTGAACATTTTGAAGAAAATATTCAACCGATTTACTTGAAATTTTA